CAAGCCTAGGGACTAAATGATCTCCCAAAGGCCCAGGATTTCTAGACAAGAAAGCCTCCTCAAAAGGCATCATTTGCAGACATTATTTTTCTCTTCAATCCTCAGGGAGCATATCTATTATGGGGGGAGGCAGACTTGCTTGGATCGTTGCAGAGGATTTCCTTCCAGATGAATAAACTGCTAACCACATCTTCTCAGGTATGCTTGTGCTCTCTTCAAGGAGTGAATGCTGCATGCACCAACTCCAGTGGCATGGTCTGGAGACTTGAGTTTCTTTCTGCTGTGTGAACCTGGCCTGGGACACTCCTCGCACTGGATTTAGCAGGCACCTCACTACCCATCTCAAATTGTAGCATAAGCACACAAAAACATGTCCATACCCAAACCATAGTCCATACAAAGATAAAAACGATAAAACCGAGTGTAATTTAGCATTAGCTGCACACTGAGGCAAAACACTGCAGCAGTAAATCCAATCTGCGAAGGTATCTATGCATGACACAGTGACCCTCCACCCCAAAAAATCCTGCATTCAGATGACTGTGACAGACCCCTCACTTGGGAACTGTGGGTCCAGAGGCTGTTGTGAGGTCTCTTCAAGCCCCATGTTTCTGGGCTGCTGGTTTATATTTTCCTCCATCTGAATGAGCAATATCTGAAGAAGCAGCCAGCACGCTGGCTGCATTTCCACAGATCCAGTTGGTGGCCGGCAGGGCTGTCACTAGCCAAACCGAGCATTTGGGACTTGCCCCGCATTGCTCCCTTAGCGTGAAGCCTCCCTGCCCTGGCTAGTACCACCTCCCAGGTCTGTGCTGCCATGCTTTACACCTCCGGGCCCCAGGCTCAGCTGCAATTTGCAAAAAACCTGCAATTTGCTTCTGCTGGGGTTTCCTTCAACTGGCCTCGGCCTGGCACCAGGACTTGGCACTCTCGTGCCCCTTGCAGTCGTGTGTTGCAGGGGAATAAGTAAGGAGCAAACTACTACCCTTGCCTCAGGACTTGCCTCTTGCAGGTTCTTTGGCATAGGAGCAGGCCACTTCCTACCAGCTTCTCTCCGCAAGCTGCACTGCTCCACTGGCAACAAGTGGAGTCAGCTGGAAGCGGTCTCCTCCACCCTCCTAGCACCCTACCCTCTTCTCAGAGCCAAGCTCTCAACACCCTACGGCAGGGCTAGCTAACTGGTAGCCCACAGGCCATGCGTGGTCTCAGGACATCCTCCACCACTCTCCTGCTCCTGGAGTGTCCTGGCTCCCCCGTCCCTCCTCCTGCTTCCACTGCCTGTCCCTGCCTCTGGAAGGGGAGCAGGATGGACCAAGGACACCAATGCAGTACAGCAAAAATTGACCACGTGAAGTGGAAGGTGGTGGGGTGTAACATGATCGGAGGGGCCCACATAGCACAGCGTGGGGCACAGTGGCAGTAGGCAGTTGGGGGGGTGCGGGTGACCCCCAGCCACCTGAAAGTTGGGCAGTCCTGCTCTACGTGAGGGCCACTGTCCCTCCCCCAGCTCTGCACACACGACTGCAATGTCAGCGGTGCTGGGCGAGTCTGCCCTACAGAACGTGTGACAGCTCCCCCGCTGCGTGACCTCCGGGGAGTCACAGCTTCTCACCCCTTTACAGCACTGCTTCCCCTCCTTGTTAGACTCCAGGCTCTCCTCCTAGCTCTTGTGAATTGAGGGGCACTCCTTTTCAAAAGCCAATTTATTTATTACAGTGCTTCCATGCTTGCAAAGGGGCTGGGGGAATGGCCAGGCAGGGGTGAGCCTGAGCCTGTGCTTACCTCCTCACACCTGCTTATCTGCTCACAGCGCCCTTTGAAGGATCTCACGGCACCCCAGGGTACTGCAGCACCCAGTCAAGAATCACAGATTTAGTCTGTGAACTCCTTGGGGCAGAGACTGTCTCTGACTATTTTTAAAAGACTTTGCACTGTGGGGTACCAGTCTCTCCTGGGGCTTCAGGCCAAAGGGTGACCGGCACACCCATTTTTGCTGGGACAGTCCCAGCTTAAAACAGGTATTCTGGCCCCCTGGTCAGTTTGTTTAAATGAATGCTTTTGTTCCATCTCCAGGGACAAATGCCACGGCTGAATGCAATGGCAGTGCCCTCCAGCTATGGGGTGCAATGGGAGGGTGCCAATCCTCCAGCATCCCACAGTGCTCTGCTACCCACTACCCTCTGCTCTCGGGCACGCTCAGCTGACACTGGAGTTTGGGGACAGCCGAGTGCACCAGGGAGCAGGGAGGGGAAGAGCAAATGCTAGAGGATCTTTTGAAACTAGTTAGATCTCTCCCAACCTCACAAAACTTTTCAGGTTGTCCTGTTTTAAGACTTGGGAAGTACGGTCACCCTAGGAATACATCTCTGCTTTGTACTTGTTTCCAGTCTGCTACATACGGCAGTGCTCTCTGTCCAGAGGCTGACTGTATGTGTAAGGTGTCCCTTTGTGTAAGGTCTCCAGACAAAAGACACCCTACTGAGGTGGGTTTTTATTTCTCTCTCTTACGCACACGCGCACGCATACACCCCCCCCCAATTTGAAATACTGCCTCGACCAGTGGGCCAATGTTTATAGCAGGTGTGCCACAAGTTAAGCCCCGGGCCCTACCCAAGTGCTACTCCAGTCCCCTCCTTCTTCTGCCCAGTCTGCCACTCTGCTCTCACCACCCTGCCCTGTGTTCCCTGTCTGATCTGCTGCTCTGCCTTCTGCTCCTTGCCCTATGTGCCACATGCCACACACAGAGGCTGCTTGTGCCACTTGTGGCATGCAGGTTGGCCACCCCTGGCCTATGCCATTAAGTGACTAAGTCCAAGTGCTGTGCTACATCAGAATGAATTTTAAACAGAGCATCCTTCTGCAAGCAGCAGGTGTCATGTCCCCATTGCTCCTGACACACTTTACACAAAGACTTACTCCAGTTCTGCCTGTGTCAAAGCCAGACAAAATGTGCCTCTCAGACATGACGGCACACACCAATCTCTCTGCCCATGCTGGCGATCTCTCTCATCCAGGCTCCAGTAGCTTGTTAGCTGCACCTGCCTTTGTCCCCAAAGTATTTACTCGGCAGAACTGCTATTTATCAGGCCTTGCATCTTTTTTTACTGATGAAACACAATCTCACTGGATCTTGGACAAACACCTTGGGGCCGACGCCAAGAAATATCTTAAGAAACAAATAGAAAAACGGTTACTATTTGCAGAGAAATAATTGGGAAGAGAGTGGGACAGGTCTACACTTGTTAAAATCAACACCCTTCACAACAGAGCTTCTGATGAGGATTTGCAACATGCTGGATTCATTGTAGTTATGGGCAGGGAAAGGCCCATCAATAATCCAGGCTTCAGACAATTATTCTACTTCTTATCGAGCCTTGAATGTTTGCATCAATCTTAATGCATCTTAAGCCTCAGTTCGTTATAGGGAATTAGGTGTCTAAACAGGCAGAGTTATGGAGCCCTGGTTTGCTCTTGGCTGGGCTGGACAGCAACCCCCATTACTTCTGTCCTAGAAGTGATCCTGTATCAACAGTTCCTTTTCTTTTTTAAACACTAAGATGGCTGTGGAATCGCTTCCCAGCTCTGAATAGGGATTTTTGGTCTGGTTTCAACTGGAAAAAAAACAAACAAACCCCCAAAAACGATGCATATTTTGCTTCTGACTTCAACAAAAGTGGGAAGAGGCCTTAACCGGGCTTTGATTTTGGCTTCTCCCACATCAGTCTTTCAAATGCTTCATGAAATTCAAGCACAGAACATGGTTTATAACAACAACAAAAAAAGAGCATTAGGGGCATTTTAAAAACACATGCACGCTTGCGTCAGTCTGAATGTTATTTGGTTCCCAACCAGCCGGCTGAGCTAACTCAATGGAAAGAACACTGATAGCAGATAATGGGCTCTTGCTGCTACATAAATGCCAAGTAGAAAGTGAAGCCCGGGAAAAACGCCAAGTAGAAATCAGAGACTGGAGCAAATGCTAATACTGGAAAAGAAACCTCCAAACCCTGATCTTATAGTAAAATTAATATTAAAAAAAAAAAAAAAAAGACTCATCTCTGAATGTTTCCATCAGGGTTCAAGTGGCTGTATCACCCGGGCTTTCAGAACGTATAAGAAGGATAATATTCCTTAATGCCTATTTTCAAACCACAACTGTCTGAATAAAAAGGTTTTTGCCTGGGAGTTTCATTATAATGTTATTTTTTATATAATAATGTACTATGTAGTACTATATTGACATTTACTGATGTAATACTATATTTTCTTATATAATAAGGCACTGCCATTAAAAAGGCATAAAAAACAGGGCCTAGAAGTTATCATGAAAATAAACAGAGGAAATAAGCTTCCTTAATTTTTATATGTTCATCTCTCTCTGTCTCTCACACACACACACACACCCCCTCAAGACCCAGGGAGCAGCAAACGTGCACCTCAATGAGAGAAGGACCCCAGCATCCATGACAAGATGCCTGAATTGGAGCACTCAGGTGTCTCCAACATTAGTGCCCCATCCACAAGCATTTTCACATGCAGGTCATGCCCCAACATGGGTGTCACTCCCATGTGCAAATGTGATGGTCTGGCAGAGCAATACTCGCCTAACTGCTAGGGGAGAGCTTATGCCTGATGCAGCATAGACATTTTGCTGCTCTGGGAAGAAATGACCTAGATAATGACAGGTGGGGACGAGACGGTGGCGCTGCAGGGCAGCCCATGCAGCTCTGGTGCTTCTGTCAAGACCTCACGTACACAGCAAGGGCCAAGTACACTTTGCTGTATCAGTGGGGCCATTTGCAGCCAAAAAGCCAACTTAGCCTGAGGACTGGTGGGCAGAACGAGACTAAAGCAGAACCCCGATGGGATCATATCTAGGCTTGAAAACTGAGTTGCAATTTCCCTGATGCTCTTGGAAGGTCAGTGCAGAAAAGCATGACCTTCACATAACAGATCTAGTCCAAAGGAAGCAAAACGGTGATCGTTTGAGCTACTGTATTTATTCACATACCGCAGTTGCTTCTTACTCTGAAAATTAGCAACCAAACATGAGGATGTGCATCTTAAATGAGGAAAGTGCTTCTGAACAGTTTGGCTAAAAGGATTTTTTTTTTTTTTTTAATTCATTTGGTCTCCCGCAAAACAAGGCGCATGCCTTCTCTGGAGGCGGTTGGTATGCACATAAATACGGTATTTCAATTCACAATTGAAGGGAGGGCTTTTCTTCACACCGGATCCAGCATAACCCTTCTTCAGGCTTGTGGAAATTTCAGGTGACCTAGGTTACAAATCTTAGCTCCTCAGCCCTCCGCTGACATCACCAAGGTCGTGTTTCCACGCTGCGCGCAATAGGTAGGAAGGATTTCACATCAGCATGCTATACCGCTCTCTTTGTGCTGCTTTCTTTGGAACGAACGGCTCGGCCATGGAACGGATCCTGCTCTCGGAGGAACTCACTGAAGCCAGAAACGTTAGTGTTGTGGTTACTCTTCATCCTCAGCCTAAATACCACTGCTCTTTCACAGGGAAGGAGTGTTGGATACCTCAACTGATGTACCCAAGACGGCTCAGAAGGAAACAAAACACAAACACACACATAAAACCCTAAACCGATGGTTCTCAACCTCTGTAGACTCAAACCACCCCTCGTTAGACTCAAGGCTCCTCTCAGAAGTACACCAGCTCTTGGCTTTATGCAATATCTTTTATTAGACCAACTGAATAGTTGAAAAAAATGTTCTTTGCAAGCTTTCGGGCACAGGCACCCTTCTTCAGGCACAGAAAGTGTCTCTAGGATCCAACAGAAGCTTACACCAATGTGCAAAATGCAGGTCTGTGAAAATACAAAGTGTGGCAGGGAAGATCAGAGGGGACAGGAGTGAATGGGTGTGAGACAGGTAGGTCGGGGGGGCGGGACAAAAGAGGAGAAGGCCGACAGGTGATAAAACATAGCTGGTAACCTCTCCCTATGCCTGAGAAACGGTGCAAGTCCCCAAAAGCTTGCAAAGAACAATTTTTGCAACTATCCAGTTGGTCTAATGAAAGATATTACATTTACCCAAATAACCCTGTCTGCCGGGGTCCTTAGACCAACATGGCTACAACCAACAGCCCCCAGCTCTTGGCTTTCACTCGTTTGACTACAGAAAAATACTGGAGCAATTCTGCGGGTGCAAAAAGCTCCAAAAGGCCACAGCAGGGCAGGCTGGTTTTGACACTACGGCCTCCTATGCGAAATCCTTGGGTTTATCTTGTGAATCACGTGTAGATGTTTGCACACCAAACACTGCTACTATTGAGCAGCTCCCGATGGCCCCTGGAAAAGGCTTTCACGGCACCCTGTTTGAGAATCACTGCCCTGAACCATTTACTCTCGTGACCGATGCCAGCAAACACTGCAGCGGTTGCCTGCCTTTTTCTGCCTCGATCCCCCGCCTGTTCAACCAAAGTTTAGCTGCGCTCTTCTCCCTGCACGCAGCACTTCAACCCTCTTGTGATTTCAGAATGACAATTAGCAGCTCCGGAGACTCCTGGCTCCTCACAGACGCCCAAGAGCGGGGACAGGGGATCGGGATGACCAGGCGCAGCTGGTGGGACGCAGAGCGGTCGGGAAGCCAAGAGCTGGATCTTGCCTCCCCCGGCCGGATCACCGACAACCCCACGGCAGCGATTCTCAACCAGGGCCCCTGACATCCTAGAGGCGCTTGGAGATCCTTTCAAGGGTGCCGGCAAACACCCTTCACAAGACAAACCCGGACGTTTCAAGGAGGGATTCGCAGCGGGGCTCGATCTGAGCTCTTCGCAACAGAAGTCTTTTTCAGTAGGCAAAAAACAACCAAAAAAAAGAGTTGGTGTTTCCGAGGCGCGGCACGGGAGAGGCGGGGGACAAGTCTAATTAGGAAGGGCTGCCAGTCTGTCTAGGGGGAGATGACTCTCGGGTGCCACGAGTCTGTCTAGGGCTCATGCACGTCTCGGGGGGGTGGAGAAAAGGGCTGTGAGGCTACATAGGGGGCTGCAAGTACGGGGGAGGGGGGGCAGGAGCCTATCTC